ACCTACCGGTTTGTCCCGGATAACGAAACGGGTTCCAGTGAGTAGAATCCACTGACAGCGACTGATTCCTTCAATGTAACGCATGCGTCTTTAACCCCATCGCCCCAATATTGGACTGTAAGATAAACTATATCATGGTGGTGCGGCCAAAACGTTTATTGCAACTGACTGCATATGTTATAACATTGTTATATCAGGGTTGTGTGCGTAGCGTGTGTAAGTTGGACTGGGTATGTCTGTAATGAAGAAATGTGAGCGCGTGTGGGTACATGTTTATATGTTTGCACATGCATATGTCGGTCTCATCTGTGTGCGTGTGTGTGTGTGTGTGTGTGAGAGAGAGAGAGTGATTGATTGAGTGAGAGGAGGAGTAAGAGGGAGAGAGAGTGACTGGAGTGAGTGAGAGCATGAGAGTGGAGTGAGAGAGAGTGAGACAGAGGAGTGAGAGTGAAAGAGTGAGAGAGTTAGAGTGAGGGAGACAGAGGGGCTGGGGAGAGGAGGGTCGGTGTGGGGAGATGATGCGTTATGGAGAGTAGTGAGTAGGTTGTACGTACATGTGCGCGTGCGTGCGTGCTTGCGTGAGTGAAGAATTCATTATCACACGTCGGATAACACCGACATACAGAAAGGAGAGTTACCGTCCGTGTATTGTTTTTTGATACTCCTAATTGTTCCTGAAAACCATGTTCTCACGTCCACCTCGTCTGGTTGATATCACAGAACACGTAAGACATGCAATTAGACCTAACACAACCTTTGTTCCAGCCCTGCATGTCTTCATGTGACAGCAACTGCAAGGGCTACTGCTACAGTAAAGGCAAGGGAGACTCCTTCGCGCATGCCCGGCAGGGAAAGTACCTGACGATTGTCTTTAAACGTGAGTACTGACAAACTTTACTCTCATCTAATCAAACAAGCAGGCTTTATGTACCATGACGAAAGTCTTATGAGCTGGCATATTACAAACAGTTTGAATATAGCAAAGTTTGCGGAGTTTTGCCGGTAGGCTGCTCATCCACTTCCCTCTTAGTGTTTGTTTTAACATAACGCGGAGAAAATATCACTTTATAGGTGTGGACTTTATCGCCGACCGTCCATCGCGACTGACAAAAACGAGTACAGTTCTTTAGCGAAGGTCAGTCCTTGTTAGTGAGTTAGTTGAATCTTATGCATATTTCAGTAATATTCTAGCATTACCACAAAGCGTCATGCCCAAACTGGAAATCCGCCCATATTCTACCCATTCTGCCCTTATGGGTAATCCGTGCCTGATGACGCCCTTATTGCAAAGCAGCAATATTCGACCATATTTCGGCTGCGTGAACATATTAGGACAGTACAGTACTGTACAGTACAGTACAGTGATTGACATATCCTGGACGACCTCGCCGCCGGAATACTATGAAACAGTATTAAGTCACCGAGCCTGACCAGCGGATCTGTTACGCCGCTTCCTGCTACGAGTACATAGCGGTGGGTAGCCTTGTGGTTAAGCGCTTGTTCGCTATGCCGAAGATCCGGTTTCGATTCCCCTGCCATCAGTACAATGTATGAAACCCTTTCTGCGGGTGACCCGTCGTGATATTGTTGGAATATTGTTAAAACGACGTAAAACTTTAACCCTCACTCACTCACTACTACCAGCACCGGGCGCTGAGGAAGCGTCGTCACCATCAACCTTACGGGGCGGGCGATGCGGGTGCCTACTGGTTAAAGCGTCCGGGTTCGATTCCCCACATGGGTAAAATGTGTGAAGCCCATTCTGGTATCCCCGCCATGATATTGCTGGAATATTGCTTAAAGCGGCGTAAAATCATACTTCTACTCTCAATTTTACATACTCTTCCACCGTTTCAGGTGAATTGACGACACAGAGAAGAACGTGACGGTGTATGAACGATCACAGGTCACGCTAGACTGCTCCGTGAACCACCCGTACGCCGTCACGGTATGGTGAGTACACACGACCCGTCTGTACTACTTAACGTAGCATCTGTTGTATACAGCCCTGCTCTCTACGAGGGCTGCCTAAAACATCAATAATAGGAAATAACGTCGATAGGAAAACCTTTGAGTGATTATCGATATGAAAATAGTGTCATCGACAATATCGAACACAAACGTTTCAGACAGAATACAGTTTTTACTTATTCAATCAATACCACACAAAGTAAGTTTATTCATGGGCTGCTTCTAGATTATGTTCAGGATGTTGTTTTGTTAGTAATCCATGCTTAAACATGTCGCCATTTTCACTAGTGGTTTGAAAATATTATTCATTTCTTTTCGGACTTTCATTAACAATTTTGGTCAAAGTTACTTCTCCGATATTTATCGATAATTCGATAGATAATTACCGAACGATTATCGATCTCAAGTATCTATATCGATAGCCAGTCCTACTATATCATGCCAATAGTGGGTCATCCCCTCCCCACCCCAACCCCACACACCTCACACACTCCACCCCATAACACCCTCCAATTAGAAAACATGAAGGGGTGACGACCATTATTGGCATGAGTATATTTACGTCACAAGGACGCCGTCTTCGTTGATGTTCTGAAAGTCGGCATGACCTTTGTCTTGTCATATGTAAAATGGGATTCATATGTTGACAATATCTAGTGTGCAGTGTCGGTGGTCAGGGAATACGTTCCATGCAATTGAATACTATAGAAGCATAACTGAGGATTTGAGTAGCCAAAAATGTTCCACTCCCACTTTCAGGGACTTCAACGACATCCTGCTGCCTGACGATACGATGCCATTATGTCAGGGTGGACGAGTCCACTATGACCCTGGAAGGGACACGGGCGAATGACACTGGGAGATATACATGTACAGTACAAGCCGGGGAATGGTTGAGGTCACGAACCATATGGCTTTACCGTCAAACCAGGTAAGCTGTAATTACCTCCCCTTTGTGTGTTCTTTTACCGCTTGAAAAGCACCATGTTTTTGTAAACAGTGAATTCTGTATTCCAAGATTTGGTAAATAACTGGATAGGGCACACAATCAAATATGTAAGGGTTTAGATACTTTGATATTTGTCTTGTCACTGAAGGAAATATCCATTGACTCTTTGCAATCAATCTTATATGCATTGATGGAGTTTTTTTTGTATTTAAGTTGCTGCAAACTTAATCAAAGATCAGACAGAAATATTTCTAGACGGGATAGACGAATGTATGAGTGCAGCTTTGGCACCGCTGCTGAATTTAACAAAATATTTGGATTTATAATTCATATGATTAATGCTAATATGTTGATTATACTTATAAGGTGTGACATCAAAAGATGATAATATCCGAAACATGAGTTGAAATAGCTGAGCCCACCAATACCCTTAATAATTGTTTTAATCAACTCACAAACAAGATTTGAGATTAGGGAATTGAAGTATTGTTGCTATTTTATTTTCCAAGCGGGACTATTTGGCAAACCTTAATCTGTTCAATTGTTTTGTTTGGATTTTGGAGTTGTTCAATTTCTACAAATGTGTTGTGTAACATGAGTGAGTGAGTGAGTTTAGTTTTACGCCGCACTCAGCAATATTCCAGCTATATGGGCGGTCTGTAAATAATCGAGTATGGACCAGACAATCCAGTGTTCAGCAGCATGAGCATCGATCTGCGCAGTTGGGGAACCGATGACATGTGTCAACCACGTCAGCGAGCCTGACCACCTGATCCCGTTAGTCGCCTCTACGACAAGCATGGGTTACTGAAGATCAATATTCTAACCCGACCTTCACGGGCGTTGTGTAACATGGAGCGTCACATACAAATATAGGTCCCAATAAGCATGGCAGATATAGTAACAGATATGGCATATATTGCACCTGTTTACCTGATATTTATAGGTATGTACACCTACATTCCATTTAGCCAACTACAATTAACTACGCGAAATATATGTAAACTATACCTGACATAAACAATACGTTGAAGCAGTAAAGGAATGCGAGCTTTGTACCCTTTGATCAGCCCTTTCCAAATAGTGAGTGAGTTTGGTTTGCGTCGCTTTTAGCAATGTTCCAACAATATCACGACGGGGAATACCAGAATGGGCTTTACACATGGTGCCCATGGAATCGAATGCCTTCGGCGTGACGAGCGAACGCTATAACCGCTAGGCTACCCCACTCCGGTGGTCCAAATAACAAGCATTTGCTCTCCCACACAGATGACAAACTCTGTGGGTTTTCGTCCAGCAAGATAATCAACCCAAACGTCAACAATGCTGCTAAGAAGGTAACCGGAAAAATTCAACAGAAGCCCCAGATTTCATCCCTTGGCAGGTCGTCCTTTGAATGTAGCTAAGGTAAGGAATTTGTTGGATTTGAGTTTACTCTGCAATACCGAATAGACGGTCCATTTTGATGGTAACGTCCTAGGGTTACGTCCCCTGTCACGTTATGATTGCATGAAATGTTCTCATACTCAATATGCTATTCACTGGTTGGGAATATTTAAGCCCTTCGGCTACAAGTAACAAAAAACATTGTCCCACACAAACGACACTTTAGTTAACACAAACCACTGACGTGTTCCAGGAGTTCCGTCCATTGTGGAGGTGTCTTAATAACAGACCGATACGTCCTCACTGCGGCACACTGTGTGTATGGTAGCCTCAATCTATCTACCATCAAGGTGGTGATGGGAACGAAGTCTTGCAAAGGTAAGAATGGGGAGAAGAGAGGTGTTGTTCGGTTTGTGACGCACCCAAGCTTATACAACTTTGAGTCTGGAGTTCGACTTTGCTATTCTGAACTGGAACGACCGGTCCGGAACCCTCTCCGAGTCTATCTACCCGATTTGTCTACCTACCCTGAAAGTCTGGTCGAGCATCACAACTGGCCAGATGGCTATTGTATCCGGTTGTGGCAGCGATTCCCATCGCCGTCTCCCCGGACCGGCTGCGTATGGTAGACATCCCTCTTGTATCAGAGAGAGAGAAGTGTAAGGAAGAGCAGGAGAGGAGCAATAGAATCTTTCAGACGACATGTTCTGTGCCGGTTACAACAGCGACAACATCGGGGACGCGTGTGAAGGGGATAGCGGCGGGCCAATGGCTGTGAGAGTGGACAACCACTGGACTGTTATTGGACTGGTGTCGTTCGGTCGAGACTGTGCCAAGAATGGCAGTTACGGTTTCTACGCCAATGTGTCTCACGCCCTACCCTGGATACAGACCTTTGCAGGTATGATTTAGTCAAACCTCTACGTCAGTGAAAATAGTGTAAACGTTACCTGCTTCCAGGTCGTGGTATTCAAAGAAGGCACGGTTGTGTAGCCTTCCGGGACCAGGTTCTACAACGATATTGTAATACATTATGTTCTATTTGTCTTGGTAGTGTTATGCTGGTGGTTTTGGATGGAGCCAAAACTACAAGTATGCCGAAGACGGTAATAAAAAGATCCAACCACGGCATATCACTTAAGAAACTGTGTTTTTCACACAAGTATTGTGACTATTAATCTTATTATAATTATCATTATTTAGGATCATGTGGTAAAACCCGGTTTATCGATGAGAACTACAGTACTGGAAGGATTATCAACGGACACGATGCCCTTCCAAATCAGTTCCCATGGAGTGTAGCATTGGTCAATGCAGCAACCAAGAACCTGCAGTGTAGTGCCACCATCATCAGTGACTCGTGGCTCCTTGACAGCCTCGACACTGCTTTGAAGAGTAATGTGTCATTAAATGCCTACCTTCATAGTCGTAGTTATTGCGATAAAATACTGTGTTTATTGTGTAATGCCACACTCGGCAATATTCTATCTATATGACGGCAGTCAGTAAATAATCGAAACTGGACCAAACAATCCAAGGGTTGACATTATGAGCATCGATGTACACTATTTCAATGCGATGACATTTCAGCCAAGTCAGCGAGATAGATCACCAGGTCCCGTTAGTCGCATCTCACGACAAACATGGGTCGCTGAAGATTCTTACCTGGATCTTCAATGGCCATATGATAGGCTATAGTTCAACCTATACCAACAAGCAGTAAACATTAAACCTTGAATTGATATTACCTCTTAGCATCAGTGGTTACGTTGTTCTATTGGGTCATCTGTTGTACTATTGGGTCATCTGTTGTACTATTGTACCGTAACGCCGGGCACGAATGGTCGCCCGTTGTGCCGTAAATCGCCTTGCAAGTTGCGTACCTTATGCAGACCGGAAATTGGAGATTATGGAACCAAATCCCAGTTTGCTATCACCATGCTTTTGTGTTTCATCTCGTCATTTCGAGCTTTCCGCCCAAATTTACCGCACACAACGCAATGTTTCTGGAATATTGCCTAAAGCGGCGTAAAACTCACTCGGTCATTATATTATAACCTCGTTTCACAAGCGACGTTACCATTTCAAATCTCTGTTAGACTCCAATAATATTTTGATTACATGCAAGAGTAATTGATCTGGCGATTCAGGATTCGAATCCGGCTTAAGGGACATTAATAATAACAAAATATAGATATGCACACTGTCACGTACTTAAGTAAACACTACAGAAGAATAGGTTTTTAAAACTTTATTCCTTCCCCTTAATATATATTTAAACCCCGATAACTTCTAAATGTAAACTAATTCTGAAAGTTTAGCAACTAAGTTACCTTTACTACCTAAATTAACTGTACATACATTTCTGGCCCACCTCTAATATTACTAATATTCTCCTATAAACAATATTACCACTATACTAATACAAATGTTTTTCACAAACACTAATATTTATGGTGCTGATCTAATACCCAACAATGCTACTAACTATATCAATACCCTAATACCCACACTAATATAAGCAAGGACTATACACAGAATTGTATACAAAAGAAATTACACAAACAAGTGTGAGTGAGTGAGTTTAGTTTTAAGCCGCATTCAGCAATATTCCAGCTTTATGGCGGCGGTCTGTAAAATAATCGAGTCTGACCAGACAATCCTGTGATCAACAGCATGAGCACTCAATCTGCTAATTGGGGAACCGATGCCATGTGTCAACCAAGTCACCCGGATCCCGTTAGTCGCCTCTTACGACAAGCATGGGTTACTGAAGATCAATATTCTAACCCGGATCTCTCACAGGTGGAAACAAACAAGAAGGAAAACTGATATCCACTGTCTTCCAGATGATGTACAACGGAATTATATATACCATCTTACAATGTCTCATGTTACTAAGACCCGTGAAGATCCAGGTTAGAATTGGCGTTCAGTAACCCATGCTGATCGGTGGTCAGACTCACTGACTTGTTGACACATGTCATCGTATCCCAATTGTATAGATCGTTGCTCATCACTGGATTGTCTGGTTCAGGTTCGATTACTTTCAGACCAGTATTTGTTTTCCAATAAACTCCCCAGTCTTCCTGGTCACGCTTCCTTGAATCTAACCCTGTTCCCACAGTATTACCGGATAGTATCTAACAATAACCCCTCAAAGTCCAACAGCCAAATCTAACACTACATCTATCTGAAGTCCCATTCCCTAATACATATAAACAAAATCATCCGTGGTCTTTACACGCGTAATATCTGTGACTGTTAAGGATGTTCTTTGCCATTCTGTATATTCTTTATCTACAGGCTGTCAGTCCGTCAAAGACAAAACTTGCACTCCTTCCCTGGGAGTTTAAAGTTGAAGACAGACCAAAACAGGACAGAACATGGGTTAAAAAAAGCAATCTTACGTAAGTTGGACGATGTAAATGTTTTGCTTTTGAAAGTGCAAAAACACTATTCATTCATGAACAAGTTTTTTCTCTCGCTATGAGATCTCTTGCTTAAATCTAAACATTATGGGTTGAAGCAGATGAAGACGTCACCATCCTATCAGGACTGATTTCGGTTGGACGAGCAGGTGCTATGATATCGACATTTCTGTTTTGCAGATAACAGTGAAGATCTAGCCTTGGTTAAAGCGGACCCTATAATTGTTTAACGATGCTGTCCAAGCAGCGTGTTTGCCTGCTAAGGATGATACCATTGAACCAGGGACGGAGGGCGTGGTGTCGGATGGGGAAGACATCACTTGATAGTGAAGGTAAGATGTTAAACTTTCTAATTTCTACTTTGTCTGAGACTTTACAGAAAAATATGTACCTTCTCGACATCACCCATTATATTACAAGACACATCAGTGATGTCATTCTCTTGTCTTTACGAACGTTTTTCATGTCGATGTTATCTTGAAACCACATTACAGTTTACATACACATGTAATAGACGAGCTATTGAGCGATATTGGAATAAGCCTTGAACCATGTATTGTAAAGACGATCTTCTTAACAGGAGTATGTCGTCATTTGGAATCTCCGTCGTGATATTGCTGGAATACCATTAAAGCGACGTAAAACTTTAATTCAAACCTGGATTGCTTTCAATTCCTTGAAATAAGTCTTCCTTTGGGGTACTTAAGCATTTTTTCACAGGAAAAAAGTTTTGAGCTTTATTTTTTTTAAACAAAAACCTTTGACGTTGTGGCATGCAGTGGTGCGGATTACGTCCCTTCCTGAAACTATGTCACTGGTGGTTTACCTATCATGCCCTGCAACTCCTCTTTGGAGGTGGAAGGTTTACTTCAAGGAATTGAAACTTCCAGGTTTAGGTAAATCGTCTTCAGAAGAAGTCTCCCTAGTACTCTAGCATGAATACAAACTCCCAGATATAAGTAATGTTAGTGGTCTATATAGCAACAACCAAAACAATGGTAAGTATGAAGGTAACGCTTACCTGATGGCTCTACAGACGACTCTAGGGAGGCTGTCTATGGGCCACCGAGGTGCTCATGGGATATTGTATAGCAATATAACGTGACCTTAGAGTCAAATACACCCACCCCGACGTAAACATACTGGTAATGGTACTATCTTGTTACCAAAATTATTATTCTTTTAACATTTCAGCTACCACGTCAAACCACCTGCTGTACATAATGGTGTCTCTTCTGAACACCACCCAATGCAAGAGTGAGTGGGACTATTACGTTAAAGACAACAATGTGTGCTTTAAGGCTAGGGACACCACCTCCGAGACAGCCTCTGGGGACAGCGGCAGTGGCCTCATCGTCAAACACACAGGTAGCACATATTTATATTACACCTTACTGACTCCGACCGTCCCCAGTTGCACAAATGAGTACCGTGTCATATGCTGCCCTGTCACATATCTGTATTGTCTGTGTTATTTATTGATGACGTATCTTTGGCAGGCATGAAACTAACACTAGTGACTGTTACCGCAGATTTGACGATTGATTGTTTGAATGATATATGTTTGAAGAAACTAAATTTACAGAAAGCAAAACAGCTGTAACTATGGCCTATATGTTTTAACTCTATACGTCTGTACACGTGCAAACGAGAAAGGAGATTGTATGAAGAAATACATGTCTAATAAGCTAGGCAAGAATATATTGATACAGCCAACGTATTGATTAATCCATATTCAGATATGGATTGCTGACGTCAGGTAACTCTACTTGATACATTACACCGAAACAGATTGCCTTGGGCTTAAAGGAACCTTGGGCGGTGAAAAGTATATGAAACGATGGCGAAAACAAAGAGATGCCACCATGGGTTCACAATGAGGGTCAGGATGTCATGAACATCTAAATGCCCTTCTGAGTACTCACTTTAGGAATAACTTCATTTTGCAGCAAAGCTTTAATGTCTCGCCCTTAGACGTTTCATATGTAATTGACTCAGCACGATTCTGCATGAGACTGAGCATGATCGGTAATGCCCGTCCACCAGCAGAAACCCATTTCATATGAACATATAACATCAATGCCAGAGAATAACCAGTCTCCATTATCATACTGTCAGCAGAGTGTGGTAAAATAGCGCCATACATATCATTAAACAAATTCTAATAATTTTTGTGAACGTTGGTCTCGTTAATAACCATAGTTTTTTCTGCTTTGAAAGAGCTCTTTTGCACATTCAAAACCACATTCAGTCCAATCAAGCATGAAGGCATTGGAGGCCAGAGCTCTGGGGTCTGGAATGCGAGAGCAGAAGGTCGGAATCTGGTGTGTCCCCCCAGACGCAAACAGTTCGTAAAACAAACCGGGTCTAGCATTCCCCGAGACAGGACATCAGCTCGGACATTCTCCAACCCCAGGAGGTATACCTGAGTTACTGAAACATTGTACTGATCGTACCAGGAGGAACTGCCATGTTTCCCAGGGGCGCGATGGCGAGACCGTGCCCCCATGCTTCAGAATATAGGTCATCGCCGTTGGATGTCCACCTCTAGACGAACCGTCTGGTTTCGAACCTGCTATTTGAAGCATTTAAATACCCGTCTGCCAACTCTCAGCTCCAACACATTGATGTGTAAGCGAGTCTCCGTCTCAGACAAAAGGCTGGAAGCTGTGAGCCTGCTCATGATGCAGCGTCAGGTGACAGCAGCATCCCCTGGACCTGACAGACAGGGCCAGTACCATCATCAGTTTGGTGAACACTCTCGGAGCCGTAGCGAGACCGAACCGGAGCACCTTCAACAGGCAGTGCACCCCGTCGAAGTAGGACTTGAGGTATCTCTTGAACAAAGGGTGCACCGTGATATGAAGATACGCATCTTTCAGATCGATATATGTTAGCCAATCTCCTGGCTGAACAGATCACTGAGCGCAGTGTCTCCATCTTGAAGGAAGGTATGTCTATGGAGGCGGTTTAGACCCCTGAGACCCCTGGGTCTTTTTAGGGACCAGGAAATCCGTCAAGTACATGCCATCTGTTTCCTGTCCCGATGGCACGACCTTGACCGTGGCCTTGTCTAGCAACGCCATGATTGTAATAACTCCGGCTGCTCTGTCATATGGCCCTCCCTTAGCGTGGATGGGACCCAGGGGTTTGTGGTAACGCTCTCCCAGTCCCGTAGTAAGTGGGAGAGTCGGCTGAGTCAATTAAACCACAATAAATATATACCATATCAACCTGTCGTCGAAGGACAGTAAAAATACAAGAATATCACAGATTTGGTTAAAAACTTGTATGTTGTACTAAAATCTATGACTGCAGAAAACAATACAAAATAAAATAACAAGCTACTGATCGCCAGCAACTGAAGGTAGATCACCATACCAGGGACCATGGGGACTTACAGTACTCTTACTTTCTGCATGGACCCCAGCTGGATTTACACCATCCCCTCAGGTGTTGGCGATATTGCAGAAATTTAGCCGATCATTAAAAGAACAACTATTCTACTATTAAATTCTCACCCTTGAAGATCATATGATGGTTTCTTAGGACGCAGGGTAAGAGGCGTCCTGGGCAGGAGAGCGGGCTGAAGGTGTTGCTCCCTACAAGAGCCTTGACTCCTTGTAAGGTGCAGTGGCCTCCACGGCCTCCTTGACAATATGATCCGATCCCGGAAAGAGGGTAGCACCATCATAGGAAGGGCCATCAGATTGTCCTTGTGCTGGACCTGATAGCTGGAGTAGCTCAGTCACAGCTGGAACATGCCCATCACACACAGTGCCCATTAACCCAGCCGTTGCAGCGCGTAGAGCGTCCTTGGCCAGGTGAGCCCCAAACTCGTCGAGTTGTCTCTGAAGGATGGTGCCAGGGAACGAGTCCCTGTCATACTTCCGAGACTGCGCCCGACCCGACTGCAGAGCAGCCAGGTAGGCACTGTGTACTGCCACCCGCAGTTGCTGCAAAAGCAGTGCCCGCTGGTCTCCGGGAGGACCGAAGCAATTAGATTGCGGACCTCCCCGAGCGCAGAGGCGAAGTGGAAGACCTCGGCTTCCTCATCGCTGTTGTCCACCTCATGCTCCTCCTTCAACTTGCCTCCCCTCGCCAGAGGTCCCCAATGGGGCCGGTGATAGGATGGGTGATGGAGATAAGAGTGGAAGGGGGAGCAACATGGCCACTTCCTTGCTGGAAAAAGAATGAGGGTTAACTTATAACATGAAAAACAGAGTAATCATGTGTCGATGTGTAAGTGTGTAATGAATGACCGAGAACAGAGGAAGAGATAAGTCCTCCGCCTTCAACCGCTAAGGGGAATCACTCTCTTAAGGGGATTACACTGCTCACGGTGTTGCATACCACAACTAACAAACGTTTATTTTTTAAATGTTAAAAACATTTTAACCCTGTCATTAAGATATGTTCCCGAGAAAAGCTAGAGTACCCCAAGGAAGACTACTTCTGAAGAGGAATCCAGTTATATGCAGCCGGTCTGTAAATAGCCGAGTTTCGGCCAGACAATCCAGTGATTGACATCATGAGCGTAGATCTACGCAACTGAGATACGATGACATGCATCCACCTAGTCATCGAGCCTGACCACCCGATTCCATTATTCACCCGGTTCGCCAAGCATGGGTTGCCGAATACCAATCCGGATGTTCGCGTGTTCCTTTACTTTCTCTTAGAAGGGTTAGATGTGTAGGTAAGGTCGCCATGCTGAGAAGCTCGCAGGTCGTAACTGACCATAGTGTGGACGTGGATAGTGAGTCAGACTCGCTGACTTGGTTGACACTCATGGTATCCCAATTGCGTAGATAGATGCACATGCTGGATTGTCTGTCCAGACTAGATTAATTACTGACCGCGGCCATACAGCTGGAATATTGCTGAGTTCGGCGCTAAATACAACAAACAAACGAAACTACTGACACACATACTGTGAAATGGTCTGCCTGTTATTGAACTTCTGACCTTTAAAATACAGTTAAAGGTTAATTTAATTATTGACACGTGGCGACAACAATATTTGATCACATCGTGTGTGTTCTCGCTGTATCATAAACCAAAATATGATTATGCTCAACTTTGTGTTTGTTAGCAATCGCCAGAAGGAAGCACTGATAAAGTGTATGCCTCATGAATAGAGCAATTGTCTCCCTAGACTCAACAATACAAGTCAAGGGGTTGTGGCTCTTGCAGGTTTACAATATAGCTGTGAAAACCAGAATTGTAACGAAGTACTTACGAATGTACAAATGTACGCTGCGTGTTCATATGGTAGGTTGACAGTTTCGGAGCTCTTGATGTACATTGCGTTGCCTTTTCATTCAGATACCAACACTCTGATGGCAGTGTACGCCGGAGGCTCTCCCGGTCACAACATATCTGGCGTGTATACGAACATCAAACCCTTCGTTCCTTGGATCAAGAGGGAAATGGGATGGAAGTCGGTGTGAATTATGCTAATTGCGTTATATACGTTTGTATATGACGATGTCCTGTTATATAATGGGACACACTTCCGGTAATACTAGATCGTGTATGTCAGGACAGGTGTCAGGTGTTGAAGTACCTGTCGTTTCACTGGTATACTAAAACAAATTTACAAATTATCATCTGAATCACTGTCAAGGCAATGTCGAGGTTGAATCAGGGTCTAGGTTACATCAAGGTCTAGATTGAATCACTGCCTAGACTGCGTTTTTTGTCAGTATTCAAGGATGTCAGCTTGCGGAAATATTAGCTAATGATAGCCATGTCAGCAGAAACCCAAAAGCGTATATTCTGCAGGTCATATATCTGTGTCTTATGCGGATTTTCATTTGTTGTGAGATCAGTGTTGGCGACCGGTGAAGAGTTAATCCATTTTGTAAGTCCCGCCGAACCCTAAATAGTAGCCGTTGTCCGACTGGTTAAATCCGTTCTGTCGTCACGCGTTTAATTGGAAGGTCATAGGTCGCTCAAAGGTTACCTGACGCGACCTTCCACAGGGTTTTGTTAGATTCAGTATAGCAGTGTAACGAATAATACTGAGCCTAAGTTTACTTAGACTGCTGCCTAGACAGAATATTGTCTATATATTGAATCATTTAGGTTGATTCATGGTGTAGCTTGGATCACGGTGTAGGTTACATCACAGTCTAGGTTGAATCATGGTGTAGGTTGAATCACGGTGTAGGTTACATCACAGTCTAGGTTGAATCACGGTGTAGGTTACATCACTGTCTAGGTTGATTCACGGTGTAGGTTACATCACAGTCTAGGTTTCTTCACGGTGTAGGTTACACCACAGTCTAGGTTGAATCACGGTGTAGGTTACATCACAGTCTAGGTTGAATCACGGTGTAGGTTACATCACAGTCTAGGTTGAATCACGGTGTAGGTTACATCACAGTCTAGGTGTCTTCACGGTGTAGGTTACATCACAGTCTAGGTTGAATCACGGTGTAGGTTACATCACAGTCTAGGTTGAATCACGGTGTAGGTTACATCACAGTCTAGGTTGAATCACGGTGTAGGTTACATCACAGTCTAGGTTGAATCACGGTGTAGGTTACATCACAGTCTAGGTTGAATCACGGTGTAGGTTACATCACAGTCTAGGTTGAATCACGGTGTAGGTTACATCACACTCTAGGTGTCTTTACGGTGTAGGTTACATCACAGTCTAGGTTGAAGCACGGTGTAGGTTACATCACAGTCTAGGTTGAAGCACGGTGTAGGTAACATCACAGTCTAGGTTGAATCACTGTGTACGTTACATCACAGTCTAGGCTGATTCAAGATCAAGGTTATATCACATCTCACCGAGGCAAGGGAATTACTTGAACAGAAAAGTCCTTGACGAACTAGGCTGAAACTCCTTGGGTGTATTTTGGTTGGATTAATGAGTCTTAATGCATATTCCAATCATAAAATCGCGAAACGAAATCATGGTGGATGATGTGTAGATTTTGACTGATTGCAGGATTGCAAAACATATGTTCTGTTAACTGGGAGTTGACATCCACGATACAACGTAATTCCAGTTTAGTTCGTAAAGGCTAGAAACTAAACCTCTGTGGGTTGGTTATCTTTCCATCCTTCTATATGCATATGTGTCTATATAGAACCATGGTCTATGCTGATTCACGGTTTCAAGTAAAATCATGATCTAAGGTGATTCACGGTCTATGTTGATTTATGGTCTGCGCTGATTCACGGTTTATGTAAAATCACGGTCTATGCTGATGAAAAGTCAACGTTAAGTCAATGTCTGTGTAGATTAATTATCTGTATGTATTCACGATCTATATTTGAAATACTTTGCTGGATTACTGTCTGAGCTGATTCATGTCTATGATCATTTATGGTCTGTATCGATTCACGGCCTATGTTGAATCACGACCCGTGTTGAATCACAGGCAATGTTCAATCTGTGTCTTTGTTTAATCACTTTGTATGTTTTTTCTTATATTACAAGAATTCTTGATATTTTCATTTCCGATACATTGATGCTTTGTTAGTAACCGCATGTTAAGACTGAAAATACTTCCATGCTAATATATACATATGGTATGAAATCCCTAAATACCATGCTTCGTTCATGTTGTGTTCTCATTGTGATTGGGCTGGCATCAACATCTACTGTGAATAACGGGTTGGATAAAAGGAATCTTCGAAAGATGAACCACAGATCGAATTCTAATCAACATTTGTCTGATGATTGACTTCAGTCATCATCCAACAACATCATTAACGACCCGCCGACAGTGTCATGCACAATGTCACCATCCGACATCATCAGCGACATTAGGGCAGTGACATGCACGTTATGTGTCACCAATAATTCAAGGTGAACGTATTTGCAAAATATCCAACTGTGAAATCTCAAACATTCTTCAAACGTTAGTAAATGAGTCAAGTTTTATGCTACTTTCTGTAATATTTCAGCAATATCACAACGCAACACATGTTATATATCGGAGTACACTTTTATCAGTAAAGTTCAGAATCTAGTATCTAGTACTGTTAAGGGATGATCCGGACTTATATTCTCAGTATGGCGCCTAATCGCCGGCACACACACTGTATCCAGTTTTGGAATCGAACAGGGCCCTTGGGTGTGATGGTCGAACGCTTTAACCACGAGGCTCCCCGACCGCTCCCTTAATCTTTAAACACAATATGATTTAAATATATTGATGTATGATACAAATATAATAGGATATGTCATGCATAAATTATATCTGAATGACCAACAGGGCCCTTATCGTGAAATATGAAATATACTACCCGAAAGAACTCAACACTGGATTCAGTAGTAAATCTGTCATTAACATATTGTGGTTCACAATGTAGAATTGAGTCCTGTCGAATAATAACAAAAAATAATAATAATAAAAAGCACTGAATTTATTTCCCAAACAAACATAAATATCTGAGATCTGTTCGGAGAGTTCCGATCCATTTCATAGAGCTAACTAATTGTTGGTAATTGTGATGACTTCTTGCTAAAGCTAAACATCATTCTTTATACAGCTATACATCATGGCAGTTCTACCGTGACTAAACAGTTACAAGTGTGTGCCAATATGGCACTACTGTGACAATGTGTGCAAATGTCTTGGCACTGTTTACGCAGAACTTAGGTCAACAGTGTTGTTTAATCTTGGTCGGCAGCGTTGAAGCTTCTTCATTGAGTGACAAATGTATACAGTCGTGTATAATGTTTATCTACAATATCCTCGCATGACGGATGACCTGGTCCATGACTGAGCGCCGTCCCCACCTCGGTTACCCGAGCAATGTGGTCATGCATATGAAGCAACCATATAATCACAACCACCTACACGTCCACACAAGACACTACGACTGCGTGAAATGACATTGTAATGCACTTTATTGGAACAAGTCGAGACGTGCAACCCATGTGATGAAATCATTAACATTAATCAAGCGCTTAAAGGGGACGTAACATTTACATACGAATTACATAAGGAAATGTCACCAATTTTTCTTCCCGTTGTGACATGATGTAACAATGGCATTCCCATTACAAATCACCGATGAGGGTGTACGTTTCTCTGGGGTCAAGTAAATGAGCCTGGCCCGTCTGAAATCATGCCTCTAGGATCTCGGTAATGACGTACCAGCATATAGGGCATCTTAATTTTGTCGTCTCAAGTAACAGGCTGTTTTAATGATGAAAGCTTAAGACCGCTTCAGTTTACGTGTGAAAACCAAGAAACATGCCGAATGAGTGCGTTGTCTTAAAGAAACAGGCCGTCTCACTGGTGACGTTGACAGAAAGAGACCGTTTCGGTGTTGACGTCGCAATATCCAGGCTGTGTCAGAGACGTTTCAAGAAACCTGATGTCTCTGTAGGGACGTCTCAACGTATGATCTACCGCACTCTATGCCAAACATGAGCAATGGATGAAATATTCACAGAGATACAAACGATATAAATAATATTTACATTGATAAGAAATTTTGTCTATATTAGGACGGCATTGCTTATTTACATTATGTACATAACTGTCGCAAAGAGGCAAAACATAATAAAGATATCACTGTAACATCACGTGATATCACTTCAACCGTTCGTGTTGATATTACTTCTACTCATGATATAACCACAACATAACCGTACGTAATATCACTAGGACTGTATGTGATATCAGCACATGAATAACGAATCTTTAAGTGAATTCTTCATTTTTCATTTAGGGCTGTTTGAGAACACGATCATTGGACAAAAGCGAATACGTTAGATGTTTCCAAATACTGCCGGTGTCAAGCCCTTCACGTCTTGTCGCGGCTGCTGACCGTGGTTGGTGTTGCGGCAACGTCTTCCACGTGACGACGACTTCGCACTGATGGGCAGTCTGTCACGTTGGAGGTTAACACCGACAACTTCAACGAGTGCATATTCATCAACTTCAGAGCTAGCAACCACAACAAGACAGGATGTACTGACGCTGATCGTTGTAAAGTTTTAACGTTCGTTATTTGCTTCGTAGTCTCAGAATAAGATGGATTGGCCCACAATCCTGGCATTTAGGTTCACGATTTGGAAACCATTTAAGGTTTAAATAGTACAGATATTGTGAAAAATAACTCTCTGACCATAAAACAAGACTCTAATTTTTTTAGCAGTAAATGTTCCCGAATAGTTGTCAACGTGAAACCGTGTCACCATTGCCATCATTTCACATATTATACCGATTATACATGACAGTCGGTCTCCAGCAACAACTCAAATCAACAATGGTGAAAGCCAACATACGCTATATGCGTTAACTGATCAACAACTTGAACGCCTCCCCCCACCTCGAATAATGCTTAACTGAAACATTATTATAAAATCACAATACTAAATATTGATATTCAAGATACTAATAATATTTGGTCATTTTTTTATAAAGTACATATATTTTACTACAGGAAAGAGACATAACACACAAAACATACTGCGTTCATCAACTCCCCAAATTCCATATTCTCTATCAGTTTGTTTCTGTTAAATACTGTTTTCGTTAAAACTGTTTTCGATGAGTCTATATATTACTATATCGTCAACTGTCACGGTCTGCCCTGGATGTGTGGAGATGATATTCTTCAATATATTCTGCTCGACTGTCTACACTGTAATGAAAGAAATGACTTGATTCTCAAGTTTGATGAAACCGTTACTAATGACACGTTCGTAACCATGACAACTGACAATGCGTGCAAGGTGCGCGGTCCGTGTGGTTCAAAGTGATGGTTGTCTAATGTCAGTCAAAATAATAGTCATCCTTTATCCGGCGGCACAGACACAGGGCAAACGTCATCCCTAGGACCTGAAAGATTAAGAATGAGGAATGTCATGCGGAAAACGGCAATGTATTTGTTTTATATGATGTGTAGGTGATTACCTCTGTTCAGGAGATATTCTAGCTGTTATGTAATAACAGAGGCAAATCGTGCTCACTTCGCTTTTACTACTACTACTTACACACTCCTGCTGCTGCTACTACTGCTGCTACTACCACTGCTGCCACCACTACCTGCCATTACTACTTCTACTACTATTACTACTACTTCTACTAGTATTACTACTGCTACTACTACTACTCACAACTGGCATTACTACTACTACCACTGCTACTACTACTACTATACTTCACTACCACTTGGCCATTACCACTATTACTACTTCCACCACTACTATCACTACTACTCACTACCACTACTAGTATTACCACTACTTCTACTAGTATTACTACTGCTACTACTACCGCTACTACTACTACTCACTAGCATTACCACTACTACTACCGCTGCCACTGCTATTACTACTACTCCTACTACTATTACTACTACTTCTACACCACTATTACTACTACTACTGCTGCCACTAGCATTACTACTGCTACTACTACTGCTGCTACTACTACCGCTACTGCTGCTACTACTATTATTACTACTTCTACTAGTATTACTACTGCTACTACTACTGCTGCTACTACTACTGCTGCTACTACTACTACTGCTATTACTACTTCCTCTTCTACTATTACTACTACTTCTACTAGTATTACTACTACTTCTACTAGTATTACTACTACTACTACTCTACTAGTATTACTACTACTACTACTACTACTGCTACTACTACTACTACTGCTATTACTACTTCTACTACTATTACTACTACTACTATTGCTACTACTACTACTACTGCTACCTCTGTCCCGTGAAGATCCGGGTTAGAATTGGTTCAGCAACCCATTTTTGCCGTAAGAGGCGACTAACGGGATAGGTGACTTGCTTGACACATGTCATCGTATCCCAATGACGTAGAGTGAGTCAGTTTAGTTTTACGCCGCACTCAACAATATTCCAGCTATATGGCGGCGGTCTGTAAATAGTCGAGTCTGGACCAGACAATCCAGTGATCAACAGCATGAACATCGATCTGCGCAATTGGGAACCGATGTGTCATCCAAGTCAGCGAGCCTGACCATCCGATCCCGTTAGTCGCCTCTTACGACAAGCATAGTCGCCTTTTGTGGTAAGCATATGGGTTGCTGAAGACCTATTCTACACCGGATCTTCACAGGTCCCAATGACGTAGATCGATGTTTATGATGTTGATCATTTGGTTGTCTGGTCCAGACTCGATTATTGACAGACCGCCGCTATACTACTACTACTACTACTACTACTACTACTACTACTACTACTACTATTGTTGTTGCTGCCACTACTTGGTCACGTATATAGCTCAATCTCCACACTGAGTATAGTATAAGTGCACGACATTGATATTGCTCCCATTACCCTTACCATCAACGCGGCAACACCTACGCCGACCCCACCAAGTATCCGGGCGTTACTAGCGAGGAAAGCAAAAAACTTCGTGTAGCATCCCTGAAACAAAATTCGCAAATTAACGACATCAGTCAAAAGATAATGACCAATTAAGCACAAAATCCAACAGTACAAGTTAATGTCTTGAGTTATCAAATAAATCGATGTATTGTGGCGTGGTCCAGTGTTAACGAGGTGCAGTAGGGATTAACTGTTTGAACGTCAGGCTGAAGACCCGGGTTCGATTGCCCACCTGGGTACAATGTGGGGAGCCCATTTCTGGTGATATTGCTGGAAAATTGCTAAACACGGCTTAAACCCATACTTACTCATACACACAGTCTGTCTCACAGCCCCTTATCCGTATAATTTTTCCTACAGCCTAGCCCGCCCTACAATGCTAAAGCCCCAAATGAAGCAAGTCTAGATTTCCCCAGGTTCTGAATCTCGAGACTCTCTGGGGCTCTTTTTCAATTTAAATGGATCTATTTGTTACAATCAAAATTATATATATTCTGAGACTAAGCGTTAGTCTATCACACACTCAGAGTTAACGAATTAAGTCATAATCAGGTTTCATGTTAGTCATACCTCTGTAAACATCTGGTCGTTAAAGTTAATGTCCACAACGGGAGGCCCGACTGCTGGTGACAGCTTTGGGTAGTCCAGTCCTGTACATTTTGTCAGGTTCTCAGACATCTGTGTTTTACAGCAACTGTCGGGGATGTACCTTCTGATACCTGTGACAATAAACAAACATGTAACAGAGAACACGAGTCTCTCACACATCTGTGTTTTACAGCAACTGTCGGGGATGTACCTTCTGATACATGTGACAATAAACAAACACGTAACAGAGAACACGAGTCTCTCACACATCTGTGTTTTACAGCAACTGTCGGGGATGTACCTTCTGATACCTGTGACAATAAACAAACACGTAACAGAGAACACGAGTCTCTCACACATCTGTGTTTTACAGCAACTGTCGGGGATGTACCTTCTGATACCTGTGACAATAAACAAACACGTAACAGAGAACACGAGTCTCTCACACTTCTGTGTTTTACAGCAACTGTCGGGGATGTACCTTCTGATACCTGTGACAATAAACAAACACGTAACAGAGAACACGAGTCTCTCACACATCTGTGTTTTACAGCAACTGTCGGGGATGTACCTTCTGATACCTGTGACAATAAACAAACACGTAACAGAGAACACGAGTCTCTCAGACATCTGTGTTTTACAGCAACTGTCGGGGATGTACCTTCTGATACCTGTGACAATAAACAAACATGTAACAGAGAACACGAGTCTCTCACACATCTGTGTTTTACAGCAACTGTCGGGGATGTACCTTCTGATACCTGTGACAATAAACAAACACGTAACAGAGAACACGAGTCTCTCACACATCTGTGTTTTACAGCAACTGTCGGGGATGTACCTTCTGATACCTGTGACAATAAACAAACATGTAACAGAGAACACGAGTCTCTCAGACATCGGTGTTTTACAGCAACTGTCGGGGATGTACCTTCTGATACCTGTGACAATAAACAAACATGTAACAGAGAACACGAGTCTCTCAGACATCGGTGTTTTACAGCAACTGTCGGGGATGTACCTTCTGATACCTGTGACAATAAACAAACATGTAACAGAGAACACAAGTCTCTCACACATCTGTGTTTTACAGCAACTGTCGGGGATGTACCTTCTGATACCTGTGACAATAAACAAACATGTAACAGAGGACACGAGTCTCTCACACATCTGTGTTTTAGAGCAACTGTCGGGGATGTACCTTCTGATACCTGTGACAATAAATAAACGCGTAACAGAGAACACAAGTCTCTCAGACATCTGTGTTTTACAGCAACTGTCGGGGATGTACCTTCTGATACCTGTGACAATAAACAAACATGTAACAGAGAACACGAGTCTCTCACACATCTGTGTTTTACAGCAACTGTCGGGGATGTACCTTCTGATACCTGTGACAATAAACAAACACGTAACAGAGAACACGAGTCTCTCACACATCTGTGTTTTACAGCAACTGTCGGGGATGTACCTTCTGATACCTGTGACAATAAACAAACATGTAACAGAGGACACGAGTCTCTCACACATCTGTGTTTTAGAGCAACTGTCGGGGATGTACCTTCTGATACCTGTGACAATAAATAAACGCGTAACAGAGAACACAAGTCTCTCAGACATCTGTGTTTTACAGCAACTGTCGGGGATGTACCTTCTGATACCTGTGACAATAAACAAACATGTAACAGAGAACACGAGTCTCTCACACATCTGTGTTTTACAGCAACTGTCGGGGATGTACCTTCTGATACCTGTGACAATAAACAAACACGTAACAGAGAACACGAGTCTCTCACACATCTGTGTTTTACAGCAACTGTCGGGGATGTACCTTCTGATACCTGTGACAATAAACAAACATGTAACAGAGAACACGAGTCTCTCAGACATCTGTGTTGACAACACTTGTCAATGTGCCCCGTATGTCTATAGCATTTATGTATAACATACAAAGATGAATTACATGTATATATTTTGACAAGATATCCACCCACTGACCGGTCTAGAATCTGACCAGAAGCCGCCCCTTTCCCCGCCAATGTCTGCCGTTATCAATCCAGCTAATGCCCTCCCGCACCCCACACCGTGTCTACCGACTGTATATTCCAGATGTACCCTATATCATAAGTAATACACGCGTCAGGTAGATTATTTCCCGGCGTTGCTAGGCTACCTTTCACATTTTCCCTGAACAATAATAAATTTTCGGCCTAACGAGACCCCAAATTAGATCCCCAGCTCGCGCGTGCACAGCTATCTTGACCGTCTCACTCAAGGGTGAACGACAAGATATCCCACTTAGCTTCGCCCAAAGTCTGGCGTGATTTGTGGAGGAGAAACGGTAAATGTCAGTATTGATAACACAAGAGTTGGGGACTTGGCCGATAGCAAGAGGCGAATGTTTATCTGCAGTAGATATCCACTAGAATTATTGAAATCATTGCTATTATACGGTAAACGTGCAAAACCCATGCAGCTCCCTGACTAGGTATGTGTGCTCGAACCTGGATCAATCGCACCAATAGCTGAAAAAATGCGCGTTATCAGGGTATGCAGCACCCCCACCCCACCCCACCCCTAATTCGAAATATAAAGAAAATGAATAAAAAAAATTCGTCCGTCTCATAAACACACAGGTAAGACACGTCATACTGAGGACCTCGTCCGTCTCATAAACACACAGGTAAGACACGTTATACTGAGGACCTAGTCCGTCTCATAAACACACAGGTAAGACACGTTATACTGAGGACCTAGTCCGTCTCATAAACACACAGGTAAGACACGTTATACTGAGGACCTAGTCCGTCTCATAAACACACAGGTAAGACACGTTATACTGAGGACCTAGTCCGTCTCATAAACACACAGGTAAGACATTATACTGAGGACCTCGTCCGTCTCATAAACACACAGGTAAGACACGTTATACTGAGGACCTAGTCCGTCTCATAAACACACAGGCAAGACTCATTATACTGAAGACCTGGCCCGTCTCATAAGCATACAGGTAAGACACATTATACTGATGACCTAGTGCGTCTCATTCATAAACACACAGGTAAGATACAGCTGTGACGTAGTCCTTCTTTAAACACACAGGCAAGCTTATACTGAAGACCTGGTGTAAGCATACAGGTAAGACACATTATACTGACCTAGTGTCTCATTTTACACATGGATCTGAGCTGTTCTTTTGTGCCACAGTATCTGACGTGGTTGTTCTCCTTGTAGTAGGCCCAGGACGTCGTTGAGTTAATGCCACCATCCACTCCACAGCAGCCGAACTGAGAGAAAATTATAAAGATATTACACGTCGGTATTGTTCCTCTTGCTTTAGAATCGTTACATATGCACGGCCAAGTGGCTTGCTGCATTAGACGATTTAAGGGAAGATTTACGTCCCTTTGCAGTGTCAGGATCCGCTTGCCTATAGTTCTATCCGCTTTCACATAATAAAAGTCTTGGACGTCCGTCGATTTATGTTAAAATTTGTGATTTCAATACTGTTCGTGGGGTTTTAACCAAACTAAATCCTAACCCAGTCATTGTTAAACTTTATTCACATGCTACAAGACCCGTAAACTCTCTCTCGTAGAGCACTAAACAAGTTTATGGCTATCGTAGACTTCTCACGTTTAATCATTTCATTCCAAAGCTACAGATATAATGAGACTCAGAACGACGTATCCACAACAAAGTCTGCCTATGTAATCTGTCTGGGTTAGAGTGGGACAATCACAGATACAGCCAGGGAACCTGTCTTTCAGATAGTCTCATCATGTCATGGAAGTAATCATTCTTGTTGTGTTCCTTGCTGAGGAGAATACACTGAATTCTAATGTGCATAGCGCAGATGGCTTGGCAATATTTACATACGCGTGCTGCAAGGTTATAGAATATCATTTTAAGCAAGGCCCCTTTGTTTTAATGGATGAGACTTTCCTAGAACAAAACCCATGCCTTTGAAACGCAAACAGGACTTTTTGAGATATTCAGGCAGGAATCTGACTTTGAATAAACTTTTGGAATAACTTCCAGTTGCCTCCGGCATTCTGTCACGTTGACCAGGAACCATGTTCTAAGGTTGGTATGGCCTGACTTGTAAATATGTCAGGCTCTGTCTTTAAAATCACGTTACCTAGCAAGCATAGCGTATGACTCAGACGCAAACTCTTGATAATGTGACCTTTCGATTCAGTGAAAATATCGATCAATCTGTCCCCCATTTTGCCTGAGCGCCTGTGATATTTAACAGAATGTCAAGTGAAAGGAGAGTTCTTCAAAATTTGTCGTGTAATTTCGGGACAAATAGTTTTATATGTGTTGGCGGAACAGTGCCCTAACGACGTCCCGTACCCTTGGGTTGCCTTGACATGTACGTAAATACGTTTCATAAACGACCTTGTCCACAAGTCCAGGCTCTGGGTTGCTGAAAACTCACAATTTTTTGCATAAAATCCCATGCATTTGTTACTGGATCTTTTCCCGCCATGCCATAACTTGAGTTCAGTGACCGGTACAGCTCGTTTATCGTATGTTCGCCAATCTGGAAAGAGTAATTGTAATAATAACCAAAACAGTAGTTCAATTGAAATAAAATAGCTGAACTTGATAGAAATGCCGTTAACTTTGATTGTTCGTTTAACCATCGCTCATTCCTGTAAAACTACAAAATAACCCGTGGTTGCGTAATTTTGCGTGAACGCAAAAACGGCCGTCTGTGCGTTTTCTCGATGACGTTGCTCACGTGAATACGTGAGCGGTTATATGACAAAAAATTGAGAATTACGCTCCCCTTCCATCTCTACGTTTTCTCGATGACGTTGCGTCGTAAGGCGGAATGATGCGGTCGTATCACATTAATACGTGAGCGGCTATATGACACAGACTTGAGAATTACGTTCCCCTTCCGTCTCTGCGTTTTCTCGATGACGTTGCGTCGTATGGCGGAACGGCGTGGACATGTCACGTGACGTTCCTTTCTGTGTCAGCCGTAGATGGGTCAGTGGTATCCATCTGTCCTGCGTTGGCGCTGTGACATGTGGACGTCCTGTATGTGGACCATCGACATCTTCATTATTGTTTTGATGACGTCTCAATAGTGCTTAAATGGTGTTTCGGTGGCCATGGAAATGCACCACAAGGCAGTCATCGTGGCATGATGTGCGGTTCATTAGCCGAATAATCTTGGACGATCACACGTCAGACCAAGTACACTTCCCATATCAATAGCTGGTTCTGACATTCATGTTCTCCACACAATTGATCGAGATGCACGTGAACAACCGTGTTGCACGTGTCCAAGCCGAAACCACTGACGTCATGTGTTCAGTCCAATCCACTACTTTCTGCGTTTATATTAATATTATTATTATTATTATAGGATATTTATATAGCGCACATATCCACGCAACTCATGCATGCTCAAGGCGCTGGTATTGTTTCCCTCGATCATTGGATGTCAATTTCAACGGCACATCGTATTTATCAATCTCAACTCCAGGGGGAGTATACAACTCTTGCTGCCACTAGGCGCACCGAGTTATTGTGGCTTTCTCATCCTAACGAGGTACCCATTCACAGCTGGGTGGACTGGGGCACATAGTCACAGTACTTTGTCCAACTTCAATGCACGTTGTTGTACCTGCAACTGGGTGTTTGCACGTATTCATGTGGCCACATATAGTTCTAATAGATATCTCTGATTTCCTATGTGCACAGTTTCGTTTTGTGGCAGGAATATTTTAAAACTATAATTATTAAACATTTGATACACTACACTGAGAGCATAGTTTCTTTTGCTTAACAATGTATAGTAGCATATCATATGACTGAATTACTCTTAAAGGTCACATGCAACGTAAAACACAACTTTGCAGATTCTGATACCTTTCGGTATGGACTTACCGAAACAAATCATCAAAAATGCAAATTCAACTTATAAAGTTGAAAAATAACCCGATGAAAAAAAACGCGACGAAAAAAAACGCGCGAAATCGGAGTTCAAACGTTTCACTAACTTTCCCCCAGTGGTTGGGGGAAAAGTGGTTTCAACAGCTGGGCTGCGCTGCGCTAGGCTGCGCTCATAGCACCTGCCCAGTCAAATAGGTTTGCGCAGCTTGGAAGCGGGTTGGCCGGTGAATACTCGGTGAAGGCTTTGGTGTGAGCTATTTTTCTAATGTTTTGTTGATATTTCACAGGCGCGAGCTTTTTATATGTTATGACAGTAGATTACCGATTTAACTGTTTATATAATTTCATTTGTCTATTTCACCACACATCCTTTTTCACCGAGTCACTTTCTCAGTTCGATACTTAAAAGCAATGTCATTATTTAGCGTTGACAGAATTTCTAACTGTGATATAGATATATCGTTGTCACAGACAAAACTCAATGTCTATTTTATTGACATCTATGTGTCTGCCTGCCTGTCTGCTAAGGACAATATTCAATACACAACTTCGATCACTGACCACATGCAATTTGAACTAAACACCTATCAGGCCATACACCATAAACAACACGCATTGATTTATGGCCCGTGTTCGGTCTCTGTCACATTATATAATTACACAGACAGGCAGGTGTGATACTTGTACACATGACATGTTATGATGTCTGTTGATTGCAAAATGTTATACACAAAAAATGAGCATGTATTTACAAAACCCAACATCTCTATATATACACACACAATGACCCGTGAGGGCATCTGCAAATGAACCAGCCATTACACTTGAGTGCACACCCACCCGCTCTGACTGGGTTCGGTATCCCGGCTGCTTCGTTTCTTGGGAAGTAAACCCAAGTACAAAATATTGCACTTTTGATTTGCGATTGTACGCTTATAAGTTTGTTCATATGTTTTTTTAACAATCAGCAATGTATATTATATGTCATGAATAAGTGATAATTGTGTTTAAATTATGTTTGATTTTTTGGTTGCATGTGACCTTTAATATATAATTAATAAATTCGATGTTAACTACTTGAATACAAGCCAGGTCTCCCGTGTCTAGTTTTGACTAACCAATGTCTAGACGGTTTAATTAATACCGTATTTGAAATGCATGTATGTATATTAAAGATAGGATTTGCTTGCTGCTGGGAAAACTAGAATAAGAATCGTTCATATTAATGAGGACGGACGATTTTGCTCTCACAATGATGATGCCCTACCTGGCCTCTATATGCATAGACGAGGACTCCGCCCACCACTAGTCCGAAGAACATCACGAGCAGCAAGGCGAAGAACTGCAACAACAGACACCAGAACTTAGGTAGAGCATCGTGGGGTGCGTGTACATGAACGTATTTCATGATCAGTGCGGATTACTGTTGAAGTTTGTAGATAAACATGTGTAAAGTTATTTAGAAAGGGATAGAGGAAGCATATATGTGTACGTAACGTTATTCACGTGTCAATTGAAAATAAGGCTATTTGCACGTCTCAACCCGAGGTGTATGTGTGTTGATCTGAATCGAAAATACATGTCAACACAATATTTCATGGTAAAAGAGAATGTTTAGAGGTGTATAATGATTAACGTTAGAGGTGGAGACCCGGAAGTGGCCGACATCTACTGTGTTACATAATCTGTATTACCGTAACCAGCATGCATCGGACTTCCTTGATGGCGCCGCAACATCCGAGGAATGAGAGAACTATGACCACACCCCCAATGACCATAAGCGCCAATGACAGTATGGAGTAGAGGTTGCTGCCCAAGATGGCCGACACCTTTGTGATCCCCGTCTGACTAGTTCGGGTATAGATTCCCAGTCCTAGCAACCCACATCCTGCGACCTGGAACAACAAACATGGAGTTATCTCCCACGCATACATGATATTATAAGAGAGTGAGTGAGTTTAATTTAACAACAGCATGAGCATCGATATTCGCAATTGGAAACCGACGACACGTGTCAACCAAGTAAGCGAGCCTAACCGCCCGATCCCGTTAGTCGCCTCTTACGACAAGCATGGGTTACTGAAGATCAATAGTCTAACCCTGACCTTCACGGGTCCATGATGTTATAAAGTGAGATAAAATACATCAATGTATTTTAAGCCTTCCCGTAAGTAAACTTTCAGAGAATTAACATCTTGTTTCATTGTGAATGGAGAATCCTGATTGGACACGCCCACATTTGACTGAGCACTATGTCGTAATTACAAAAACATACGTCTCGAAAATCCCTTGAGCATCGAACTACTAAATAGGTCATGATACGCAAGGAAATCGATTGTTACGTTGATGTGATGATCAGTTTTCGGATAAAATTAAGATATGAGCATAAAAGTCTTGTTCCTGGAAAGCCCCCCCCCCCCCCACACACACACACACACACACACACACACCAGTTATTATCGGTAGGGTGAGAGAATTTAAAGTCCAACCAAATTTATCTAAAATGATTTTTTCCAGTATTTTCTTGAGATCCACTTGAATGAGCCCATACCTCCTGTATTGTTGCAAGCCACGGATCCAAGCAGGGCCATCTACACCGGCACAATATGATCGTCGAAAATGAGGATGTTATAGACATTGATCGTGAGTCACTCCGCCATACTGATGAAGGGCTCGCTTGCCCCCTGTGTCCTGAATTCAGTTAGATTAACGGTGTAGCGATCTCAGAAAAATAGCCATACATTGATCGTAACTTTGTCGATTTCCGGACCACGATAATGAAACACTTAATCGCGAGTTGAGAGCTTCGCGGACCTTCAACGGGACTTGTTATCTCGGAGATAAAGCGGGGAATTGTTTCAGATGTTAGCCTTAGAAACAGGCTCTAGACTCACTGAAGGATGAGACTTTCAAATAAAATCCGACCTTTGATGTGACTCGTCCTTCATGCAAAAGGATGGCACCCCATTATACTGTTTGCGTTGTAAAACATCCTTACGGATGAGTGAAGCGTCGTAACTCTCCATGACATCAGCATCTGTTTGAAAAGAAGCCACAGCGCCTTTGACTTATCTCTCTTAATAAGTCGAAACGCGACTGGGAATGTCAAACACTGAACTTTGAAATTTGACGGTTGTTACAATGGGAAACTGGAACGCCATGCAGTGGGGACATAACACCACAAGAGTAAACGTTGTTCATGGAGCACCTGATGCCTGCATTTCCTGTGTTCTGATTTGTGTATAGTGTGGCATTTGATTTCCGCTCTTGCTAACTTCCCGGGATCCAGCGTCAACTCTCTGAAAACATATTCGGTTAATTTTTTTCACAATTCCGTACCCCGTCTGTAAGAGCTAACAATATATAGTCGCGATAAACTATAAATATTGAGTGAGTAGATTTATCTGATTACATGTCCGGCTAAAATGGTTCAAGTCAAAACAGAAACGTCGGGCAGATATTTAGACTGACCGACATCGATAAAATATACCCGGGACTGGATATGTTGCTGTAGAATAATACTAAGTAAGCAAACGGGTCCTGGTGGTCTCCGTGTTCTGTAGAATTTCAGTAGATACGAAGGCGTGGTCTCCGTGTTCTGTAGAATTTCGGTAGATACGAAGGCGTGGCCTGGTGGTCTCCGTGTTCTGTAGAATTTCAGTAGATACGAAGGCGTGGCCTGGTGGCACAGGTGGTCTGTAGAATTTCAGTAGATACGAAGGCGTGGCCTGGTGGTCTCCGTGTTCTGTAGAATTTCGGTAGATACGAAGGCGTGGCCTGGTGGCACAGGTGGTCTGTAGAATTTCAGTAGATACGAAGGCGTGGCCTGGTGGCACAGGTGGTCTGTAGAATTTCAGTAGATACGAAGGCGTGGCCTGGTGGTCTCCGTGTTCTGTAGAATTTCGGTAGATACGAAGGCGTGGCCTGGTGGCACAGGTGGTCTGTAGAATTTCAGTAGATACGAAGGCGTGGCCTGGTGGCACAGGTGGTCTGTAGAATTTCAGTAGATACGAAGGCGTGGCCTGGTGGTCTCCGTGTTCTGTAGAATTTCAGTAGATACGAAGGCGTGGCCTGGTGGCACAGGTGTTCTGTAGAATTTCAGTAGATACGAAGGCGTGGCCGGGTGGCACAGGTGGTCTGTAGAATTTCAGTAGATACGAAGGCGTGGCCGGGTGGCACAGGTGGTCTGTAGAATTTCAGTAGATACGAAGGCGTGGCCGGGTGGCACAGGTGTTCAAGCGCTGTGATATATTCCAAACAAGATTCGTAAGTGCGAATCTCATTGATATTGTCGGGACAAAACAACGAAATAGGATCGTTATGTCCGACTTCGTTATATCCAGAGTGGTATTTGTTTAACACAGTACACTAAGACAATCACACGAGGTTCAGATGTCAGTATTGCCACTGAATCACAGTAAACACTGGACCACAGAATATCGATATAGTGACCGATGGAAGGTGAAACGAGAACGCGTCGCGCACAACAATCATCTGATGTCCAAGTACATCCCCTGGAATGACATGATTACTGACTTTATGTCGGTGATTGAGACGTTGTCGCGGACGCTGCCGTACTTGAGGAATCAAACATTGGTATTGACACGATCCCGAGATAATTTTAGACTCTGGTGTTAGTGTAGAACATGCTTGATGGTTGGGTCATCAGTAGCACTCCATGTCAATAGTGAATAGTCCACTTACTCCCAAATGACATATCCCGTTTGAGTGAGTGAGTGAGATGGCAGAAGCACGGGATGGAGTTGAAAAAGCCAAACATCTGTAGAATCTGAGCAATGAACCATTCATCACAATCTTTGGAAACCTCGACGATGGAAAAGTATTCAGACGTGTCCGAACTGAGTTACAGAAGTGATTAACTCAGGGGATACAGTTATTGGTCCACTACCCAATCCGACATTTATCGTCCTCCGTGACAAAACAAGCATGGTTATGATTTGAATATAAATGGCTATATAGGTGTTAAAATCATTGGTGTTGCGATACTTTTTTCATGTGTATAAATGAGAAAAACAACTTTTGATGATTCGACTGGTAGAATTGAAGAACGAAATGTGCGATTAAATGTCATTATGTAGCACAACTAAGTTCGAGTTGCCTATCGCACCGCGGCAGTGATATTTGCAGTGGACAGCAAGTTGATCTTCGAGTGAAGGAAGGAGCTAAGTATAACGCCGCTTTGAGCGGTGTTCAGTCACAGCCTGGTGTGTCAGTGTGATATTTGAGGAAAGCTCGAGATGTTGCAGATCTTATAATTTATGTTTGACGTTTCGTGAACCCATACACACGGTCTTGTGATGACAAAACCTAGACACATAATCGGGGCGGACCTGGATTCGAACCCACGATCTATGTTTCTGGCGTGGCTCAGGTACGCATCTCTGCATATGGCATTGCGGCGATTTGGACGACTTGGCCGCCCTACACTCAACCAGAAACAATGGCTTACCAGGATGATGGCGTTGAACAGGAACATTGAGTACTTGAGGAAGTTACCACATCCATTGAGGCCCATCTTGGAAGACTGAAACACAAAAGTATATTGCCGATTGAGTTAGTTTGTACGCCTCTTTTAGCAATATTCCAGCAATGTCATGCCGGTTGACACCACAAATGGGCTTCAGACATTGTATGCATTTGGGGAATCGAACCCGGGGCACTTTAGACACTTGGGAAAAAGCAGTACCTTGTTCGACATAACAAAAATGAATGGCATATGTGACGAAATGCTCGATGGTGACGTCCCCACCCCTACGTCCCATTACCAAAGTAACAAAACGTTTCTCACCCATGAAAGTAATTTGACAGGACAGCTTCTTTAGCACACAAAGAAACAAAGCAGTGGAAGTAAAATTGTCCCAAGAACATAGTTATAAAAACAGGATACAGGAAAAACACACGAGATAATCAAGGAGGGCGTGGCGAAAGATGAAGTCATGCAAAATTCATGCTGGCCATGAATTATTCTTATAGTGAGTGAGTTGGGTTTTACGCCGCTTTTAGCAATATTCCAGCAATATCACGGCGGGGTACCTGGCTTCACACATTGTACCCATGTGGGGAATTATTGTTATACCGCGAAATTCGAGAATAACATCAGCATGAGAGCACTGATATCTGTCATGTTACATTATCAAAGGATCCTCTGTGTCCGGTGAAAACTGTGAAAACCACGTGCGACGTGAGAACATTAAAAATCCATCGTGACCTGATACATGTTAATACCCCGTGTGATTTGAGGAAAATTGTTAGAATAAAGAAATACCCTTGTAAAGTAATATCAAATAATACTCCGTGCAAGGTGAAATCACAGGATGACCCGTGTACATGAAATAATCTCGAGAAATGTGAGATATAGGAAAGGCACTTTATGTAAAAATAATGAAACCTACGCTTGTCAAGAGAGTGAGTGAGTGAGTTTGGTTTTACGCCGCTTCTAGCAATATTCCAGCAATATCACGGCGGGGGACACCAGAAATGGGCTTCACACATTGTGCCCATGTGAGGAATCGAACCCGGGTCTTCAGCGTGACGAGCGAACGCTTTAACCACTAGGCTACCCAACCGCTCCCGTATAAAGAGAGGAGGGAATACCAGACTGTATAATTTGAGAATAATAAATCCTCTTTGTGACGTGAGAACGGGGAATTCCCCATGTCAAGTAACAACTAAATTATTGTGTAAAACGTGAAAAGTGAAAAAACTTCTACGTTGTGAAAAGAAATTATTAACATGACCAAGGCTTTTCAGAATTACATAAAAACTTGAAAGAAGTTGAGAGTCAGTGTATTCAAGAATAGTTGAGACCCTATCAGGGTGGAAGCTTTTAAGATTGAGGAAGGTTGTTCCACCATGAACAAACAAAATGTCTTAAAATAACGGAGGAAAATGTTACTTGAAGGAATTTTCAAAAGCAGAAATGCCCAAACCTTTCTCACTGGTCTTCATTGCTCCACAGCAGAGGAAGCCAGGTGTGATCATATAAAATCTCATTTTTAATGCTACGCTTATTCCATCATGAAGAAACGATTCATCCTTAAAATACTGATACCCTCTTCGTAGAATGACCTCACTTTGGCAACAATTCGGAAAATTGACATTTTAAAATGCGACGTGTTTTCTGAGACGCAACACTCATTTTTGGCGGTGACAAGGTGACCCTGTGAACTATTGATTGCTGATTGGCTGTCAACAACCTTCGCTCTTGCAGTGTGTTTATGAGAGGTCAAGACGATCTGAGAGTTGACATAAGCATGCACAATGTTAGATGTCAATCCACAGGCAAAGAAACAAGACACGTTAGAAATATGCACCTAAAATACCTGCTGAAATCGACACCACTTTATAATAGAGACCCTATCAAGTGCATGTCATAATCTCACTATCTGGCAGTGGACCAGGTCCTGACTTCACTAAGCGGTCTCAGAGCTACAATTGTCGTGGGGATACATCAAAGAATGAGAGTTACGATATTTTATATAAACTGAATATTTTGCGAGCTTTATATCTTTTGTTTGAATATTGAACGTGGTCGTGTATTCTGTGGAGGGATAGCGCCATTTAAAGAGCTGCCGTATAAAATGTCATTAAGGAATGGTAGTAACGACAATCTTAACACTACGACCGCTTCGAGGAGAGTGTCCCTGTATATGAGTGCATGTCCATCATATACTCATGCCAATAATGGTTGCCACCCCCTTCCCCACCCCAACCCCCCCCACACACACACACACACCTCTCTAATTAAAAAAATTGAAAGGGGTGACAACCATTATTGGCATGAGTATAGTTATTCTCATAGTAACTATGACGAGGTACGGGGTAGCCTAGTGGTATCCAATGTTTTTAGGGCGGTCGCGCGTCACGGTTTGATTTCCCACAGGGTTGCATTAGGTGAAGCGATTATGTGTATCATCCGCCGGGGAATTGCTGAAAGGTAAACTCACTCACTCACTCTGTGAATTTGTACCGTATTTCTGGACAAATATATCCGGAAAAGTCAAGGTGAAATATTTGGTAGGCTTCAAATCTATATATTTGTGCGTCAGCTGAAACATCACATTTTATCATCTGAATCAATGTGTCACGTAGGTTTTTGAGAGCTGAAGTCGCTTAGTGCTTGTATGGAGATCACACGTCCAACATAGTGACTCGAATTCGAAATCTACCACATGTATCTATAAAACCCATTCTTGAAGTCCACAGTAGTGCTAGGATGTTGCTGCCAACCCACTCTCTCCCTTGTAAAGTGTAAATTATGGACGTATCAGATAAATACATTCACTGTAGGTAAAATGTTGCAGGTACATCTAAAGTATCCCTTTTAGCGGAAAGCCAAACGATGTAGTCTGTTTGCCTTCAACCAGCCAATGGACATGAAACTAGGCAACTCTTGAACTGTTTTGAATGGAACTCGCTAACTCAGCTGTTCACTTTTTTCACTTTAAACGTTCAAGCATATGTACATAGGAAGGCACACTATATACACTTTAAAAGTATTGCTCAACCGCCTACATGAGAACTAGCGTTGTTTATAATCAAAACTGCTTAGGAGCACCCTAAATAAAGCCGATGAAAGGTTTCCTCAATGCAGTGAACAGTTAGATCAACAATTTACAGCAGAGAAAAGTTGTTATTGCTTATCTGAAAATATTCCCTCACCTGTTGTTGGAAGTTTCCCGTTTATATAGCTCTGCGAGAAATGGGGCGAAAAATTATTAATCAGAAACACGCAGAGTATTGATGGGAAATTGCGTATGTCAATAGTCTATTTGGCATGCGATATTCAAAGTTAGGAAATGTGCAGGTCTTTAGCTAGATTAACATTCCGTCTCTGAGAAAATATAATTTGATAGAATAACTATATTTAAATTGAAAAGTAACACGGTTTAGATGGGAACCTATATCTTTCTACAGTAGAGAATCTAGGCCTGCTTCATTTAGAACTTTAACATTACAATAAGGGTAGGACGGAAGGGATTATAATATGGTTCAGGGACAGTGAGACAGATCGTCTTCAGCTGATTACATACCAATGTGACAGTCAGTACAACATTTACAGTTGAGTTCAAATATCAACTTGGGGTAATATTCTGCGCTCGTGGTGTGTGTGAGGGTGTGGGTGTGGGTGTGGGGTGTAACACAAGTAACATTTTCCTACGTCATTTTGAGACATTTTGTTTGTTCATGGTGGAACAACTTTCCTCAATCTTAAAGTTTCCACCCTGATAGAGTCTCAACATATCTATAAACTCATTACTGAAATAAAATTACATCATATATGAGCGGGTTAACATTGTTTCAATCACAATCCAGCAATATGCCAAGGGGAACGCCATAAAGGCTTCACACATTGTACCCATGTGGAAACATCGGGCCTTCCGTGTGACGATCGAACGCGTTAACCACTTGGATATCCCACCGCCCTAATAAATACACTAAACGTGCTGGACACTGCTAAATATCTGACTTTGCCAATGTGACAGCAATATATTGTTGGTGATGATGTTTGCGAACATGTGTGTGCGAATAACACGGGGTGTAGTGAATGAACGTGTTTCATCGAAGAGGAGATACTTTTTTCTGTCTCAAACGACTCGTCAAATTCAAACGACGGCTGAAATAAATCGTAGAGAGAATTAACACAAGTGTGATCATAATCCGCATTAAGTACATATACAATAAAAACTAACTTGATACAGATAATAAACTTTAGGACATAAAATGTTACGTTTTTTTCGCGAAAGGATAGCATGTTTTCTTTCATACCAACAATAATATGTTATCAAAGGTGACAATAGGTGAATAATATGTTACTTATACGCTATATTACATTAGATGAATACACAGTTATTTGAATTTTAACACATACATTGCATTAAATAACACATCTTTACTACACAACCTATAAATACTACAGTGTATTTTACGTGCTGATACAAACAAATGAAGACGAAGCAAGCTTTGGATAGCGTAAAACAGGTGCCCATTTAGAAATAGGTGAAATATGAACTGAATGGTTGCAATGCAAACAGAAGTTCCGCAAGTACATACGAGAAATGTAAAGAAACACTGAATATATGCACACCCACAGATATCACCAGAACAACAGATACGTGTACATATGAATATTGCATGCTTTAATCAACTTAAAGTCAACAAAAATGTCAGCAATAATTTCTTTCGAAATTGTGACCGATAAAACTGAGGTGTGTGAAATAGAATGGTTTGAAAGTTGTTTACTTTATCCGGGCTATACGTTCCATCACAATCATATGGCACCTGCAATGAAAACAGTCAATATTGTATAACTAAATATGCTAAGGCGTCCATCAAGAGTGGCTTGACCTCAAAGGATGCTGGTGGTTGTGTCGGTTGAAATAATGACAGCTGGTGTACATAAGAGGTTGTGTGACAACCTTTGAGTTACTAGGAAACATGGGTTACCTGCCCTCGGGTTAGACAATCCTTAAGCCGAGTGGCTCGTAGGTTTTTCCATACATTAATTACTAAGGCATCCTTTTCTGAGGAAATGGAGGAATATATAGGACACACAAACACAACAGTAAAATATATACAGTAGTTGACAAATATCAGCTTGCTGATTGTCCTGAAATAGTGATTGGTGATTGGGGACAAAGTGGTGACAGTTTATTTTCTAAGAGACGCATTCTGACCCAAATAGCCTCACCTTTATCCTAACTTGACATCTTTCAAATTAATTTTACCTGATGTATATGGTGAGAATGCAGGTGTACAACAAGCATGTAGAAGCTTGTTTCTTATGTAATTGATAATTGAAAGAACTAATGTTAAGTTTGATTATGTTTATAGAACCGCCATTCATTCCTGCAACAGATTACAAAAAGTAATCTGTGGCTTCATGATTATGTGTGAAATATTATTGTTTCAGTGGAGACTGGGCTAAATGATGAATTTGCATCCACGTGACCCATACCGTGTTTGAATTGTTGTAAATTTGTTCCCATAACCACCCCCAAATATGCAAATGTATTGATTTTCAACGATAACATTTATGATGCAGTTGTGTATAATGAAACATTATTTTTGAATATTTTGAATTTTTTTTACAAATCAAATTATATTTTCAAGAATACTACCGTGTAGAACTGACTGTGAACTAGCACAGTTCATTCTTATTAATTAATATCGTTAACATGTGATATTTTCAGATGAAAATTAAAGATATAACAGAGAGGTATAGTCTCTTTTTCCCTTCTGTCCATTTTAACGTGTGTGTTACTTTGGTAAATAAAATAATCGTAAACCGAAATCATCTTCCGGGACTTATTATCGCACAATGCAGTTGTCCACATAACTCCTCTGTCAAATGCTTGGTACACTAACGCCGTCATGTAGAGTTTATCAAGTACACGTTCGTCTAAGCTTGTCAAATATCTTCAATCAGGTTGCCTTGCGGCTTCAGAAGCGGGCGGCTGTAGTCGACTACAGTGGTAACAATCACGGCGTGATCAGCAGAACAAACTGGAATAAGACTGAGCACACATACGCTTCTACACCACGTTAGATGAGGGACTGGCGTGTGACTCCAGTAATAGCAGCTTGGCTACGTACAGTGGACAGGAAAGAAGCAGGTGCTATTTCAGTTTACATAGGCCCACAGGTGCTTTATCACACCTTCACCGACACAAAACCCAGCCGAAACAATGAGCCAAAAGCGGCTTCCGTGTGACGACTATACTGTTTTTAAGGTGTTGGTAAAATACAGAAAATGCTTCCGTATCTCACCCATGTTCACCCTTTAATGTTGTGCCTATTGTGGCTGCAGGTACAGTTACACAGGCAGCATGTACAGAGTGTACATTACATGGAAAGACCAGAAACAATTCTGCTACTTGTACATATATGGACAAAGTTAACAAATAGGAATAGCTTACAGAAGGACCCGGATGATCGAAGGGAGTTTATATGGTACTGATAATTTCACTTATATATATTATACCATTAAATACACTGATTCTGCAAAATATATTTTTTCCGTAGTTACAGAAAAGCATATGACAGTCGCTGAGCACACAGCAGTATTGAAAGTAATCCGTTTCACAAATTCATTTTCTCGAAATGATGCTCGTTCAGCTATGTTTAATGTTCGTCACATGAGCACCAGCTATTATATATATTCAGCTCTTTGAAAAGAGGCAAATGGGCTTAGAATTAGATTCATCTCTATGACAACATGTTGAGAGATCTATTGCCTTGATATCAGCTGTCCTATCTTTCGACAATTACGCTCCAATTTACCTTTGATGAATCTAACCCTCTCATGAGAACAGAGGTGATTTTGTTTCTTAACCGGACGTTCGTGTTGAGGTTCACTGGGGAAAGGTCGGTCGACCAGAGACCAAAAGCAAAAGAACATTTTCTTTTCATGAGCAATTCGCCTATGATATTTAGTTTCAGATTTATTGCGATCTACGATGTCGACATGTCGTTGCTCATGCTGTTGGCGTACATTTCCACACTAAAGTGTCACCGACATCTCGGATACCCAAACATGGCCCTGCTTCCGAAAACGTCATCAAACGTCCCTATTTTAGGAAAGGTATACACACGTTTTGCACGGAGCTTTACCTGGCCAAACATATTGAGAGGTTGAGGCTGAAACGTTACATACTTCAGCTGGATGTGTGGAGGGATCAATGGGCACGGTGTTTAACACCGGTGTTTCACAGCTCGGGAAACCCAACATTCAGATTGATCGGACTGAGCCTGTCTGGGACAGCATCCGGTCATTGGTAAAAAATAGACCCTTTGAACACATTAAGCCTGCTCGTGTGTAACTGATTAATCTAACACAGTTAGAGCCTGCGTTGATTGGAATAAATACAGTGAAACTGTTTAAACATCGTTTAGAAAACTATACTCTTTGGATAAATAAAGACTTGACTACTCTGGCAATTGTAGTGTGTCATGCGTTGATTAGAACAAGTACGGTAACACTTGTCAACCAGGCCTTACTGCTGTATTGGAGGGAGGGCAATGACAGTTGTGTCGGTATTGGTCACTGGTATAATTATTCATTATACAGTTCAATGACTGCTCAGGACACATTCAGTACATCGTCACTGTTAATGAAGTATACCTCTAGTGGCAGTATTCAACACAGGACAGTGCTCTGTACACTTCTGGTGGCAGTATTCAACACCTGGTGGCAGTATTCAACACAGAGGACAGTGCTCTGTACACCCCTGGTGGCAGTATTCAACACAGGACAGTGCTCTGTACACCCCTGGTGGCAGTATTCAACACAGAACAGTGCTCTGTACACCCCTGGTGGCAGTATTCAACACAGGACAGTGCTCTGTACACCCCTGGTGGCAGTATTCAACACAGAACAGTGCTCTGTACACCCCTGGTGGCAGTATTCAACACAGGACAGTGCTCTGTACACCCCTGGTGGCAGTATTCAACACAGGACAGTGCTCTGTACACTCCTGGTGGCAGTATTCAACACAGTACAGTGCTCTGTACACTCCTGGTGGCAGTATTCAACACTGGACAGTGCTCTGTACACTACTGGTGGCAGTATTCAACACAGGACAGTGCTCTGTATACTACTAGTGGCAGCATTGAACACAGGACAGTGCTCTGTATACTCCTGGTGGCAGTATTCAACACAGGACAGTGCTCTGTATACTCCTGATGGCAGTATTCAACACAGGACAGTGCTCTGTACACTACTGGTGGCGGTATTCAACACAGTACAGTGCTCTACATATAACGGGCTTCCGCGTAGACAGCTACCCGTGTTTTTTGATGGTCTGCGTATATTAAATGTTTCAGTCCCTTTACCCGAATTAGAATAGCCATTCTGGGATTTACTGCATATACATCTGTTCTGTATATGAAAGCTGTGCACCATAGTGTTATCACTCATGTTTTAAATGCTCATGCGGAACAACGAACAAAATTTTACCAAACACTCTCAAATTCCTGACGCTTGTGGAAACATTCCCTTATGTGAGGGATACTTACGTTGTCTTCCGCGACCTACCTGTAACAGCGCACCTTTAAAACCGTGACCGTGTTACAGAGGAATCTGCCAGTGACACTATTCCATATTGGTCATTGGATAATGCTGTAAGTCAAGGTGGAATATTCCCTGTTAGACAATAGAACATAGAACACTGCTCGTGACTTCATTCAACATACACACTATGACACACTGATTGTCACAATAATTGTTTTATGTCAGCGCTAGTGACAGTATTGCTCGAGAATATAATAGTTATTCCATTCAATGTAAAACACCACACACATTTGCTACACAAGCAACAAAAGCGAGATCACATACTCTCTAAATTGCATTGCTGATGGCGAAACGTGTTGCATCTGCCAATGTGTTTGTGGGTTTTAAGAACCTCCACCTTTCAAGGAAGGCATTTGCCTCTTGTGGCGCCGGGTGTACAAATGTAATTTCACGTAATGAAACTGGAATGTGAAGCTTTGACCTTAACGGGGTTGTTAGTGTAGGAAAGTGGTGAATCTGTTCAGATGCCGAGAGATCAGGGGTATCCCTCACGCAACTTCAAACGGTCAAAAATTGTTCACTGTTAACTATGCACGTTTGCTAAACATATGAAGTATCGCATTTTCACGTAATTTACATTTTCTTATACTTGTCATGAAGTCTCAGAGATATTTCTGGTCGGTGTATGGCCCGTCTAACCCATACTTGATGTCAGCATGGTAACAACACCTCATGGCGCAGTGTCTGTACACAGTGGCTGTACTGTAGAACATACAGTCTTTGTGAAGTGTCTGTACACAGTCCCTGTACTGTACAACATATAGTCTTTGTTAAGTGTCAATCTGTACACAGTAACTACATAATGGGCCATGTAATAAGTGTCTGGGCCAGTAGAACATAATGGGCCATGTAATCTTTGTGAAGTGTCTGTACGCAGTGGCTGTACTGTAGAACATATAGTCTTTGTGAAGTGTCTGTACACAGTGCCTTTACTGTAGAACATATAGTCTTTGTGAAGTGTCTGTACACAGTGCCTGTACTGTAGAACATATAGTCTTTGTGAAGTGTCTGTACACAGTGGCTGTACTGTAGAACATATAGTCTTTGTAAAGTGTCTGTACACAGTGGCTGTACTGTAGAACATATAGTCTTTGTAAAGTGTCTGTACACAGTCCCTGTACTGTAGAACATATAGTCTTAGTGAAGTGTCTGTCCGCAGACAGTGGTGCACTGTGAGACCTGACGTCTGTGTGATGTAGCTGTCTGTACA